TTCCTGGGTTTGATCTTCCCCTCGGCCTTTTGGGCTGGATCAGAAAAATTTTTAAAAAAAAAAAAAAAAAAAAATTTACATAAGATAATTGGTCAAATATGAGTGAAATTCATGACTTTTCACATAGAAACTGAAGACTCTGTGGTGATCTCATCAGTATGAACAGAATTGTGTAAATAATGCAGCTGAGTTTTACAGTGACCTGTGCAGAGGTCCAGCAGGTCAGCGACTCTGTTCAGGTCAGAGCCACATTCCCTCGTCTCCCCCTGGATCAGCTCCAACTCTGCCTTTATCACCAGCAGCTCAGCACATCTGACGGAACACCGTGATCAAATATTTACAGGGAACGTAGTGAAAATAAAAACAAAGTATCGTGTACTACGGTGTACTCTGTGTGTGTGTGTGTACAGTACATACTGGCCCGGTGCATGAAGCTTGTTGGCCAGTTTGAGGGCTTCCAGACACTGGAGCCTGGCGTCGTTGACGGCCCCACAGCTGCTCCTCACAGCCACCATCCTCACTGAGCAGTTCAACAGGTCAGAGAGCAGCTGCCATTTCACCAACAGGTTATCGCCTGCAGGGGGAGCCACAGACAAAGAGAATATTTGTAACTCAAGATAAACAGTAGTTCACTTTGACAATATTCTACTGCATTAGGATTATGAAAATGTTTTTTTTTTAAAAAGACATTCCTAAAGGAAAGAAGTTCAGCAGAGCCCCTTGTGGACACAGATGGTAAAGTTGGAAGTTTTTTCCATTCAAATTAAAATGTGAAATACATCAATTACAAATACATACAATTATTTCTCCCACCTTGTTGCCCAAGAAATGTTTTCCTTTAACTGTTTACATCTTTACCACAGACGCTGAAGTTAATAGAAACTTTAATGTCATTACAGGTGTAAAAGCGAGAACAGATAATTGTATCCAAACAAACATACCTTGGTCGATAAAGCGCACGTCTGAACTGCCGTCGTTGGTCCCATAAAGACCTTTTCCCACCAAAGTGACCAACAGGCTGCAGAGAAGCTTCAGACCTTCATACAGAGGGGAGTCTGGGCTGCCGAACCCTGGAGCACACACACAGATCAAGGTGCAGTTTTATATACATTACATATACAAATCTCTCTGAAACACTAAGTGGGTGCTGACGACACAAAGTTTCCCTCCACTCACCGTGCTGTGACACGAGTCTGCGCTCGGCCTGTGGCAGCACAGCTGTGTCCAGATTCAGGTAAGCGCTGCAGGTCTGCAGAGCCCGAGCACGCAGCAGGTACCAACTCTTCGATTGTCTGCACTCGTTCACTTGTTTCAGCACGTCACACAAAAGAGGAACTCCTTCAGCCACCTTAAATGTAGTGAGGAGTATTTTTGTTAATGGTAAAAAAAAAACCAAAAAAACATTTATTTTTCCGTCAGCACACTCGTTACCGACCTTCCCTGTGCTGTAGTAATACTGAGCCTTCAACAGAAGCAGCAGCATGGACAGGGAGGACGGACCCTCGCCGGGGGGTTCCGAGGGAAGCTCCTCTTCAGCCTGCTGTAACTGGACCTGCACAGACGTTCAATGGAAAAACCATGTGTCAGGAATAATAAATTGCATCACGGGCACAAATCCATCAATTATTGAGGATTTGTCACACATTTTTATTACCAAGGCCAAATCAGGGGCACCCAAATCCAGAAGGACGCTGGCTGACTGACACAGTGAGCTGACGCTCTGCTGCGGGTCAGGAAGGAGGCGTGACAGCCCGGTTGAAAGTTGGTACGCCTCCAAGGCCATCAACGGCTACAAACACAGAGAAGAGGTGGCCGACTTATTGAAAACCAAGTAAAAAATAAATAAATAAAAGGTTAAATAACGTTATCAACATCATCTGGGAACATTACTTTGCCCATAAGTCTGAAGAGAGCAGCCGTCAGAGCGATGGAGCTGCAGGTTTGTTTGGGGGACCTGACCGAGGGCAGAGCTCCACTCTGCAGAAGAGCCGTCCACTCCTTCAACGCTCGCTCCAACGGTTTGCACATTTCTTACAGGAGACAAAATCATACAACAATTAAACATGAGAATCATTAAATAAACTTAAAAATTAATAAAAAATAAAAAAAAAACATTGATGTCACAGAATGAATGGTCCAGTATAATAATACAGCAGGATATTGGCGTGGAGTAAAGCCAACATAAAGTGTGAGGTGAATGGGTTCCTACTGTGCTCTGACGCCAGGTTGAACTGCAGGCCGTCGTAAACCTGAAAACTGTCCTGGAATTTCTTCTCCGCTTCATAATCAAAGTCGTTGGTTCCTATTGGATTGGCCTCTCGCTTCTGTTCCTGCTGTTCTTTGGCTCCGTCAACAGCCTGGACAAACACACGTTTATAATAATACATTTAGAGCATATCACAATCATCTACCCTCCAACAGCGTTTCCTTAGGTTGATACGATATATTGAGTTGTTTTTTTTTTTTCTTTGTAAAATAAAATTATTAAATAAGAAAGGTTGTTGTGGGGTTTTTTTGGGGGGGGGAGGGGGTGTGGCCAAACCGCTGCTGTAGATTATCAATATACAATATTTGTATGTATTGTTTAATTTATTGCCGTGACAGATTCCACGTCACTCACCTCCTGGAGATTCTTCTCCAGTGTGCAGATGTAGAGCCACAGCAAAACGCGGGCCTTGTCGTCTTTGAGTCTGTCGGCGTTCTTCGCCGTTACTGGTTCTTCCTCCAAAAGTCGCAGCGCTTCGTGTGTAAAATCAACTGCAGAGCTGTGTGGACACAGTGACACACATCAAACACAAATAAGGGGAAGTTGACGTGTACCTGTGTTTGTTCTGAATCAATCAATCGATGGATCAATACCAGTCGGTCTGTTCGCTGAAATCCTGAAAACACACGACTTGAGCCATTTCACAGAGGTAAACGGCGCGGAGGTGCGTGTGAGAGCCGTCCTCGTGACAGATATCCAGGAGATCGCACAGTGTGTTGTATCGCTCCGAGGCAGTGTCGCCCGCTACGTCCTTATAGGCTCGCAGCTCTTCCTCCAAAAGGCCGAGCATGACTTCTTCACCAGGAACGTCAGGACCAAAACCATCACGGAGCGTCCTGTTACAGCAAACAAGAGTTAACTTCTCCAAAAATATCACTGCCACACACACAAAAAAAAAATGTACCTGAACAATTGTTAATACCTCAGTCGGATGTCCTCCTCAGAGCTACGAGCCGCGTCGATCTTGATTTTTACCCACAGTGAAATGGGTTCGGCCATGTGTGGAAGTATTTTGTCACCGAGTGCCTTCAGCCAGTGGATCACCCAGTCCAGGGCCTGCTCCAGGTGTCCGGCCTTTCGAGACGTCTGCACAGCCAACATGAAAGGCCGACTCAGCTGTGTGAAGGAGACAGACACAATATGGTCAGAGGTCGGACAGTACGATGTACACAGTACAAACACAGAGAACTTTGAAGTACGGCAGAACTGTGTTTCTCCTAGAAATTAATTCCAATTGTAGTGATCATAGTTTCCTTGTTTTGTTTTCAATTTTGTGTGACTGATATACAGTCAGATAAATGTGTTGCAGTGAGTAACTGTGTTCAATAATATTCTTTTCAATTTTGACCACAGTGGAGCAGCTCGATGACCGTCAGCTGTCATGGAGACTCCAAACAAGACACGGCGCTTGTTGAAGTAAATGGGCAGGAATAGAAGTTCTGTTTTTTTTTTTACCCTGTCAACAGAGAGTGAAACGGGGGAATTCCTGCACAGATCCCTGCAGACAACCTCGACGAGCTGGAAGGCCTGGTCAAACTGATGCCGGTTGTACAGTCCACACACCAGGTTGCTGACAGCAATCACTGCAGGACACAAACTCAAGTTGACCGTGTTTTAGTGACAGAATATTGAGTGTGGGTTTAATGCGATCTCAGTGGACGGGGTTCAATCACCTGCTTTGGTGAGAAGGCTCTCACTCGGCAGCTTGTGCAGCTCCGTCATCATCTTCCCAGCGGTGGCTTTACAGTAGAGCAGAACTCTGTGCAGAGCATCGTTGTCCTCCAGCTTTCAACGACAGACAAAAATCAGAACCTGGTCTCGGACACAAGGACAAATATTCTCCAAAAACCTTACCTGTGAGGCCTGCAGGCTCTCGTAAGCGAAAACGAAGCCTTGGTACATACTGAAGCACAGACTCTGTTGCAGTTTCTCAGAGTTGCATGTCATAATCTGTTCACAAAAATAAATAAAATCAACATTTGCCAGATGTCAATATACGTGCTGCACAACAGAGAACCTCTCTCATCAATTTCACTCACCTTCCCCTGCAACTTCACCATCCATTCCTGGTGCTCCTCAAGGAATGAAAACCATGCCAGGAGATCGACGGCAGTGAAGGCCTGTTTCTGAGTCTGCTCCACAGCCCACACCACCAGATCACAGCCTTGTAGAACTGCACGAGCTTCTTGGTCCTCCAGCTCCACAGAGATCGACCTCAAAGCCCTAGCGCAGTTGGTCAGTGCCTGACCGTTCCCCGCGCCGGCCTTCATGGACGAATGAACGTCTATCGCCAGTTTACCAAGCACCAGGGCCGTGCACTCACAGCCTGTGCAGTCACTGACCTTAAGACTGGTTTCCTTTAGGAAAGCGGAGGCCACATTATAGTGGCCGACCTTGCAAAGCATCCTGGTAACAACCAGCAGCATTTCACAAAACAGGTATACACTCGAATTCTTAGTTTTCTGCTTAGATCCTTTGCCGTTGCAACCCTGACTACGGCTGTAGTGATTGTCAAAAAGCGAGCGCAATTTCTGGACAACGGCATTTGCCCCCTCCCTGGACAAACTACCACAGATACCCTCAAATTCTGCCACTGCGTATTCTGCGTATATTGGAACATTAGACAAGGATGACGCCTCATTTGTAGAGTCCAACAGCAGGAGGAAGCTCAGAGCCTGAATCTGGCACAAAAATCTCTCTTGGGGATTGAAGGTTTTCTTGACTTTGTCAGCAGACAGTCCAGTCCAGAGAACAGAGAAGCAGCTCCGCACAATAGCTGTGTACTGTTCACCCTGGAGACAAAACAGAATCAAGTAAAATGTATGAAGTAAATTTGTCCCAATATATTGCACAGACGGTGCTGTTAGAATAACACAAACCTGTTGAGCTGTAGCTAGCCTCTCCCACAGCAATTCGGCCACATTGCTGCATTGACTGAAAGCTTCTTGGGAGCTCAGGTTCTTGACAATGTGGAAAAGTATTTTTTCCATGTACAGGGGAACGCTGTGAGGAATGAGCTCTGCAGAAACATCATAAATCCGGAGAGAAAGCTCCACCAGCTTGACAAGCTGGCTAACGTGCTCTGGATGCAGGTGTCCACCTCCGAGCTGATGGTTACACGCTCTGATGATCCTGTCAGACAGCGTGCGACCCTGGAGTCCTGGACTGTTCTTCACATCATCCTGTGGAAAATGTGACGCTGGTCAAGTTCGTCCTTCTGTCGTTATCTGTGATATTACTATATCACAACATACATTGTTTCTAATGCAAAGGTTACAACGAACGAACTAAGGTTGTTGTTCATCATCAACAACTCAACTGTGCTTCATAGCAAACGTATCACCGTAAAGGACAATTACAACTACTAATTCATACGTCAATCTCGGGCATTGAGGTGAGTCACAGTCGAGATTGTCAGTGGTTTTATTTTACCAAAAAATAATAGTTCGCTACGATAAAAACGTCATGTACGTTACGCTAACCTCCAGTTCTTGGTGTAGCTGCTCCGTCTGTGCTTTGGATGTGGTCCGCTGGATGTAATCGTCCACTTTTAAACACTTCATACTGTACGCTGTTGGAGAAATACCGATTAGCCGTTATCTTGTTTAAATGGTTTAATTCCTCATGAACTTAAACGGAGCCGTTAGCTAATGATAGCGGTATTTTCCATTTACAACGTCATACTGTTTTAAATAAGATTAGCTTAAGCAACAACGAGTCTTAACTAACGACTTACCAGGGGGGTTAGAGAAACCGCATACAATATTTTACATAATTTAAAAAAAACAATCACAAGCAGTTGGATTGAGTCTAAACTACTGGAAACTCAACAACCCTCGCGCACTCTTTTTGAAAGGTTCTGACGAACCAATCCGATGTAACTTCCGCCTTAAACCGGATGCACAAGGACAGATGGGTAATGTTGTTTTTTTACCGTACCTATCTTAAATGAATTAAGTCAACTTTTAATAGTGAAAAATCATCGTTATTTAAAATAAAGGTTAAAAAATATTATTATTAAAAAAATTGACATTATATAAATTAGATATATATATTTAAAATATGTAAAAATATGTACTGTATACACACATTTTTGAAACCATGTCAGGATGTCATGGCACATGTGTCCGCAATATAAAAGACATGAAGAGAAAAACACACAGGACAGACCAAAGCAACTTTAATTTGGAAAATTCACGTGTGTGTGTGTGTGTGTGTGGCGTGCACTCGTTCGTGTCTGTTCATGCATTTCCACGTGTGCCCCTGTGTGAGGACTACTGAGGAACTAAGCCTCGTTTCTTGATGATATGTTCCATGGCAGTCTTTTCAGAGGTGTCCAGGTTGATCTTGTACTTGGCCAGGATTTTCAGGATGGGCCTCAGCTTTAACCACCACTGAACCTTTGGAATACGGTGCCTGCAGGTGAGGAGCATGAGTGTGAGCGCCAATAACAGTAATAGATAGAGAAAAAGGATGTGAAATAACATAATGGCATATGAATGAAGTCTTACTCAAAGTCAGTGAATCCTTTGAGTTCTAACAGAGGCTGAAAGACCAAAGATCTCTTTTTCATTCCCAGAACACAGGCTGAATCTGGAGAGTTGGCAAAGATTCGGCCTGGAAGTTGACAAAAAAAAAAACAACAACCCATAAATATCAAGTATGTCAGTTTTAGGGATCACAAGTTCACCAGTACAACAGACACTTTCATGTCCTCACCATGTCTGTAGCATTCCTTGATCTTGTCAGTGAGCCAAAGGACCGACTTCATCCCCATTTTTGTGCCAAAGTTCCTGTCAAAAGGACTTGGCGTTCCGCCCTAAAATCAAAAACACTGACTGAAATGGACTTTTTTCAATTGTCAATTTTCAATTGTCACCCAGAGAGATTACACACACACACACGTACCTGTTGCATATGTCCAAGGACATTCTTCCTGCAGTCAAATATACCCTTTCCTTCCTCTGAGTACAGGTTAAAGATGAAGTCCGTTGTGTAGTTGGCATTGCTCTTCTCATTTCTGTGACACGAGACAAATACTGAATACAGTGTAACACAGTACCACAGTGAGCTGCAGCAAATAATTGATTTTGTCAGGATTGGAAACGACAGCAGTCGCCACAAACCTCAGAATGAGTCCTCTCTTCACTGTGGTCTTCATCTTCTCCACCAGATGTTCCACGTTCAACTATGAACAAACGTCAGATTAACACAGCAAACAGACTTCCACTGGCAGAGGTTTTACCGCACTGATCCAGTGGCACATCCACACCTCCAGGTCATGTATGTTGAAAGGATCCTCGTAGATGTACGCAGCATCAGCTCCTGCTGCCAGGCCGGCCATGGTTGCCAAGTAGCCACAGTATCCCCCCATCGTTTCGACAATAAACACCCTCCTCTTCGTGCCGGCGGCAGACTGTTTGATTCGGTCACAGGTCTGAAAAAGTGCGACAGAATAAAAATGGATGTTCGTTCAGGGTTTAGTTTCTGATTTAAATGTCATTTCTTTTGTTTTGTTTTGTTTGTTTTTTTTACCATGGTGATGGTGTTGAGGGCAGTGTCAGCGCCAATACTGAAGTCGGATCCGGGAACATTGTTGGAGACAGTGGCAGGAACAACAACCAGAGGAATGCACAGTTCCTCGTACTTCTCTCTCGCCTGCACCATCTCCAGACCTCCAACAAATGCCTGTTGAAAACCAGTCAGATAGAAATGGTGACAATTTAACAATTCAATTCAATTTGAGTTTTAATATGTGACACATACGTAAGAACATTTGTTAAAAACACTCACCTCAAAGCCTCCAACAATGACTAAAGCATGAATGTTGAACTTAGCGATGTTCAGACTGATCTCTTCTATGAACTCATTTGGCAGAGATCTTTAAAACAGATGAAAAATGAGGCCCAGAATAAATTATTATTATTATTTAAGCAGGTAAAACAAACGCAGGTCAGGAATGGACAGAAAAAGAAGTTTATCATCGTATATATACACAGACACAGACACAGCTGGACAGGGATTCAAACCAGCAATCCCCAGTCCAAACATTTGGTGAATTCAGCCCAGGAGTTAAAAACAAGGGAAAGGGACAGGTTGCTAGGCAACGATTCTTATTTTATAATGTGCTCAGAACGTGGTCACAAGAATAAGTGATAAATACAGACATAAATCACAATTCAAGTTGTCACCGTCACAAATTTGGCAACTGTTACTGGGCAGATTTTTACAACCAGCAGGCAGTGGATCACATGACCTGTTGTTGACAACAAAGTCACAGGTTGAAGATTATATCTTACCTCTTTGTTCCCAACATGGAGCCACCTTTTCCTGTCCATCCTGCCACTCCTGCCCAGCCAATAGGCTCGATCTACAGCGTAGACAAACGTAGGCACTTTTTTTTATTACAAAATCAAGCTAATTAACGTTTTATTGAGGTCGATTTTTAAAAAAAATGTATTTATGAATGTTCAAAACGTACCAATCCTTGAGCCAAACCATCAAAGCCGTCATGCACCGCCAACATCTGATGGCCCTGCAGAATTCCGATTCTGACAGCTGAGCGGACTGCGGCGTTCATTCCAGAGCAGGGAGCCCCCACGTTGACGATAGCGATGTTGATATTGCTCTGGCACAGGTTAATGTCACAGGTCAGACGTACAGCATGTCAGATTCAATGTTAAACCAACAGAAACATAATAATGAGACCCTTGGTTGACGTCAACAACGGCAGTTTCTCACCTTTTTTTCTGGAATGTGGACGTGAGCCAACATTTTGTAAGTGTTCCAGTTGTTCTCGAAGCTCCTGTTGCCAGCACAAACACACATTTGAGACTACATGAACCTGTTGAGAAGTTCTATTGCCTCACACAAAAAGGTGCATTCCTCACTTTCCCCTGAGCCTCACAGCATCATCAAACCTCCCTTCACCCATCGCTACGGTGACGTCCTTGGTCTGAGGATGGAGAAAAAGGACCGAGAGAAAATTTGGATTTTCACTTGGAAATGCTGCACATCTACAGAATCCTGTGGCTTCACTCTTAACATCCAGACTTGTAATATTTGACCCACCACTTGCACACACTCCATCAGAGGCAGCCTGACAGCCATGTTCCCAGACAGGCTGACCACACAGGCAGGAGTGTCTGGTGTGGCCTCCAGCAGAGCCATAACAGCCTCGACACCCATCCTGCTTGCCTAACGACAAAGTATAGTTCACAGTCAGATTAATTGACCAATTAAGATGATTAATTTATTTCATTCAACAACATTCAAGAGGACATTACCAGGATTCTGTCAAAGGCGGAGGGTGTTCCGCCCCTCTGCACGTGGCCCAAGATGGTGGTGCGAGTGTCAAAGCCGAGCTTCTTTGAGACCAGCTGAACAGACAGGTGATCCATCAGACGTCTGTGGGTTTTCACCAATGTCTAGTCATCAAAGTGGTCTGTCGAGTTAACGCCGTCACTCACCTGTTTCACGTGTTCACACGTGATAGGCTTACCACAGCGGTCCATCGCTCCTTCTGCGACGATGATGATGTTCAAACGGGAGCCACGCCCCCTTTGCTAAAAGAGACGGAGAAAAAGATGTTGTGAGCGGTAAGACTCGTTCAAACGGTTGCCTCCAGCAGAGCCATAACAGCCCCGACACCCATCCTGCTTGCCTAACGACAAAGTATAGTTCACAGTCAGATTAATTGACCAATTAAGCTGATTAATTTATTTCATTCAACAACATTCAAGAGGACATTACCAGGATTCTGTCAAAGGCGGAGGGTGTTCCGCCCCTCTGCACGTGGCCCAAGATGGTGGTGCGAGTGTCAAAGCCGAGCTTCTTTGAGACCAGCTGAACAGACAGGTGATCCATCAGACGTCTGTGGGTTTTCACCAATGTCTAGTCATCGCAGTGGTCTGTCGAGTTAACGCCGTCACTCACCTGTTTCACGTGTTCACACGTGATAGGCTTACCACAGCGGTCCATCGCTCCTTCTGCGACGATGATGATGTTCAAACGGGAGCCACGCCCCCTTTGCTAAAAGAGACGGAAAAAAAGATGTTGTGAGCGGTAAGACTCGTTCAAACCTGGTCCAGCAGCAGCAGCAGCAGCAGCAGGAGTTCATGTACTTCTGTCAGTCGTCTGCACAGATGCTCCTCCCATTTGTCCTCCGGTGGCATCTCTGGGATGAACACCCAGTCAGCACCGCAGGCCAGCGCTGTCACTAGAGCCAGGTAACTGTTGGTGGAAGTGAAGTAAATTATTCAATTATTCAATGTAATCCTGGCAAAATGAACACTTTTCCACAGGGACGTTATCATCATAATACAGTGAAATCCAGATTTTATGACAAACGTTTAAACTCAATCTGCTGAACTGATGAAAAGAGTTAAATGATATGAGGGAGTCAGGAGTGGAATAAAAGTATGTGAGAGTGGTGCATCAGAGACATCTACCTTATCTCACTCAGAGACAACTATGTGTATAAACATACGGTATTTCTAAGTAACCTCAGCAGACGTCACTCACCCGCAGTGGCGACCCATGACCTCCAGAATGAACGTCCTTTGGTGACTGCAGAAGGAAACAGTCTTTGTGAGCAGCGTGTCGTCGGCGTAGGCTTCTCTAATATTTATATGAACACAACATTTTCTGCAGTTGCTGCACACCTCTGTGCTGTGGTGGTGATGGCATCCACGATCTCTATAATGCGATGCAGGGCAGAATCTGTGCCGATGGTCATATCGGTTCCACAGAAGTCGTTGTCAATGGAGCCCACCATGCCGACGATGTTCAGGTGGGAGGAACTCTTGGCCTCATGAATGGTGATCTTACCTGAGATAATAACAGCAATTTACCCCCCCACACACACACATATCCCCGACCCCCTGCTCTCCCTCACACACACGTTTACTTTACGTTGTGTGTCTCACCTGCTTTGACCAGGTCTGACAGCAGTTCACTCCACTCTGTCCTGAACGCATTGGCACCAGTGAGACTGCCATCACCTCCGATCACACACAGGTTGGTGATGCCTAACTTGACCAGGTTGTAGGCAGCCTTCGTGCGTCCCTCCTTGCTGCGGAAATCCTGGCAGCGGGCGCTGCCGATCACGGTCCCACCCTGAGGTCAGACAGGGAGGAACAGTTCCCGTCCAAAACCAGGATGGTTAGGAGGCGGTTATTGAGGAGTAGTCAGATTATCTGAAACCTAAGTGCTCTCCGGCCGTGATACAGTAAGTGTTGCTATTTAATGAACCGTGGCATTTAAATGACCATTTGACCTACAGAGCCCACATTCAAGGCTAGAATTACATGAGTCACCCTTCGTACTTATTAAAAAAGGGTCGGACTTGTGATCTAAAATCTAAATTTGCTTTTGGATTTTTTTTTTTCTCCCTCTCACCAGCTGCAGCATCATTGACACGCTCTCCCAAGTAGCCGGGCGAATGTGGTCTCCACCGTCCACCAGACCCTGATAACCCTGTCAACACATGACAAACACAGCAGTTGGAGTTAATTAGGTTCAACAAATAGAATAGAATATCATTATAATAATCACTACATGTTGATTTGCATGAGCTTTCTCCTCAATTTCCAGAAATGTCTAATGTAATTGAGACCAACAAAACTAACGTGGTCCTTTATGAACCAGATAAACATCATTTTAGAAATGAATATCTGCATCATTTCTGTAAATGTGATCACAGGCTACAGTATGAGATTTTTCATCGTTGTGTTAAGATTCGGCAGATGTTTTTGTTTCTGTTGCTCTGCGGCTTGTGTCTTTTAGCCGATCAATCCACGGTTTGACAAGAGACTCCAAGACTTCCTGGAGAAACGACCAGATCCATAGTTTCGTGAATCTCTTGACAAAAAAAAGCGTCACGTGCGACTGTAATTTTGTTGCTTGATAACCCAGATGTGCTGTGAAACAAAGGTTTCAGCCACAGAGACGAGGTATGGAGCTGTGAGCAGAGTGGCGCAGCGGAAGCGTGCTGGGCCCATAACCCAGAGGTCGATGGATCGAAACCATCCTCTGCTACAAACTCTTTTATTTTAAGGAGTGGAGGTTAAGGAAGGGGACTTGGGTCCGGAAGGTTTTCGAGTCTATGGGTAAAATGCAGTGTGATTTTGCACAATAAAAATTCCTACTTTCCTGGAAGAAAGTGTTGATTTTAATATTACATGGATGTGATATATATATATTTTTTTTTTTGTTGTTTTTTTTACCTCATGGACAAAGAACACTCTGGCTCCGGTGTAGAGTCCAACTCGAACGGTGGCTCTAACAGCAGCATTCATTCCTGTGGGTAAAGTTTTACACATTTATAAAAAAAATGCAGAATTGACTGAACAAATTAACAGCAGCATTCATTCCTGTGGGTAATGTTTTACACATTTATAAAAAAATAAAAAAATGCAGAAGTTGCTGAAAAATATATATTTGGTTAATAATATTATATTTATGTCTGTTGATTAAACAATAAGAGAGTAGAACGATATGATACAATAATGATGATTTGCACTACTTTAGTGTAAATACAGTTGTACTGCACACTGTCCCTGGTGGACATGTCCTGTTGGACACTGAGTGAACGGTGGAGGACGATCGGACGCGCTGCCTAAAGGACACCACCTGGATAGATGAACCCTGACCGTGCCAGCAGCATCTCCCCTTTCAGCGTGAGGGAGGAGGAGAGGAGAGAGCGGCGGAGGAGGCGGCTCTCTCACTCAGTACCTCGACACTTTACAAACTCACGACAGAAAGGTCATACCTCTAAAATTAGCTCTCATAACAGATAGTGTGTGAGACACGGAGGAGGGAAAAGTGATAGAAAGTTGCACTGAAGCATCTCCAGGTGGCGTAGGTGAGGCTGTAATTAGGACATAGTATAAAGAATACGTGCGAGAAGGGAGTGAAGGGTGTGAGGAAGAGCCGGAATGTACCAGAACCCCCCGGTATGGTAACATGAAAATACCAGGAGGGGGAGGTATAAACCAGGTCGTGGTTTTAGACCTCGGTGAATTAAAGGTCAAAGGAGCATCTGACCCAGCGTGTGGTCTCAGCTGCTTCTTTATTTACGTGTGTTACAGTATAAACAAGTATTTGACTTGTACTTATGAGAACTTTTATTAATTGTGGAGGAGTTTGATTGTAAGTTTTGATTTATTAATGTGTATCTTAGCATTAACTTCATGTAAGAAGAGGCCGAGGCTCCTTCATCTGTGAGTTAGTGCTGCTTCACCGCAGGGTTACAGTGGAGCAGGTCTTCATCTCCAGCAGGTCCTGTCTGACTCTGTGAGGTGTTAATTACTTTAAAATAGAAAATGAAAAAAAAAAAAAAACGCCTTCAACGTACAGTACAACACTGTGTCAACGACACTAACGCTAACACAAACTTTAAACACACAGAAGATTCAAATCTTCACGTCTTCTTTAAAAGTGCACCACAATCAATATTTAAATCTAATTTAATTATTAATTGTGGTTCAGCACGTTTTCTTCGACCGCCCGCTCTGGAAAACAAACAGCAGCCGTGCCAACGCTCGTCACTCCACAGTCACACGTCTCCCCGGGGAATCCTTCACTCACCCTGGGCGTCGCCTCCCGAGGTCAGCACGGCGATCGCCCGACCCTCTCCCATCTTGGTGGGGTCGATGGTGGCCGTTTGTGCCATGGTCGTGGTACTGAAGCTGGCTGAGAGGAAGAGGCCGTGAGTGTCCAAATCTCTGCCGCTCTGCTCTGCTGTGAGCCGTTCAACCACCAGCCCTGTCTGCCTGTAATGGAAAGTGACCGCAGTCGAAGGGGCTCACAGCTCAACTATCCTTTTTGGCAGACACTGCGGGACACATACCACACACACACACACACACACACACACACCATGAGCCCTGTGCTTCTGCTTCTACAATAGGTGACATGTGGATAGCACAGAATTTAAAGTAATATTATTTACCAATTAAAAAATAAATAAAAAAAACCATAGAATCATAAATACGTCTCCCCAGTCAGTGAGCAGCCTCTTAACCTTTGTTAATATATATATATTTATATATATATTTATATATATAAATAAAAACATAAATAAGAATTAAAAATAAATCATAAAAAAACTTGTTTTTTGTGAAATTCAACTTTAAAATGATTTACTGTTTGGTGAAAACGATGGTTAATTTTTTCTGGTCTATGTGTTAGAATGGAATGTTGATCAGAAGACGCACGGCTTCACACATCACAGGGTGTTTTCTACTGCACTAACATACGTATTACACTATTGGTAAAATCTTTTTTTTTACCAGCTACTGATTGAAATACTTACTATTACTTTTAAATATATATATATGTATTTAACTGGGAATTATATCAGCCCTGGGTGTAGTTTTAGTCTGACTTACCAGGCTGGGTTTCGTACTCAGACGGAGGCCGTTCATCACCACCTTTGATTGGAGGATTGATAAATGATTACTGTAACGACAGGATTCAGAAGTAAATAAAATACATGCAAGTTTTACTGTGCAGTTCAAATATCCACATCAGTCCAGTGCAGAGGCTGTGGTTTACTTTAACCCTCGCAGTATTTACTTTACCGCATTCACCTCGTCTTCTCCAGATCAGGAGACAGAGCAGCAGTGGGACGATGAGGTGAGGAGACAGACGGGACACCACATGGTCACACTGGACCTGGTCTGTATTAATAGCTTTGATATCACTGCTTCATTATGGAGTAATGGCCCACAACAGTTATGGATGGAGGGAAACTCCGAGTCTTCTGTAATACAGCCTGTTGGAGGGAAACTCCGAGTCTTCTGTAATTCAGTCTGTAAAAATGGAAACTTTTTTTTTTAAGGATGAAAATCCTGACATTTCTTTCCAGGGTCTCGGTCAATCTGATTAAAAACATAAACATTAAATGTTAATGTTCCGGCTAATTTATCTTTAACAAACTCAACGTCCAGGAAAGTTTTCTGTAGGTGACGTTCACTCGACCTGAAGTAATTTAATAAAAATAGAACACTTTTTTTTCACTGTGTCCCACTGCGGCCCAGTACCAAATTATCTATGGACTGGTATGGGTCCACGGACCAGGGGTTGAGGATCCCTGCTGTATGCAATGTAGCACAATAAATTCTCAATGCTGGAACCTTAAAGTTTCCCTCTAAGGCACTGATTACTGCAGCCGAAAACATGTCATTTCCTGTATTTAAAAACTTTTGCATTTTGAATAATTTTGCAGAGTTGAGTTCCAGGAGAGTCACATGTATTTACTTTTACACATTAATGAGCACCTAACAGTGAGTGTGGGCTAACGTGAGTCTTTCTGTTGAACCCTGCTGGTTTGTCTCAGGAGACGATCACTGCTCAGACAGTGATCGTCTCCTGAGACAAACCCTGATCAATAGCACCATTTCCAGGTAATCCTCTCTCCCGTCTTCCCAGTCAGTGGTAACATCCACACAGCCTGTAATAAACCACACAGATCAATAGGAAAACGGTTCAAAACAAAACATGTTTCCTGATTCCATGCTTGGATCCTGGACCGGACTGTGCTGCAATGAAAATCCTGACAACAATCAACACCTGTCGTCTGGAAAACTGCACCATATAGAAGGTCATTTTATAATATATTAAATATATATGCAGCACAGGTTCACTGTTGACACCTAGTTAGATTTTTCTAATGGGAAAATATAGCTTGTAAAAAAACTAACAGTATGTCATAACATGGAGGTCATGCACATTCAGCAGATGTTTCCATCCTCTATCTTTATGGACAGAGATTTATCACCGCAATTTTTATTTTTAGAGTTTTATTTTAAATTTTATTTATGTGCAACAAATTTTAGTTTATGATAAAAAAAACCCCAATATATTAAATTTGTCATTTTACCTGTTGAATAAATGTTTAAAGTGCATCGTCATTTTAGAAATTGTAGAAAACTTTTCTAAAAATGTAATTTCCTGTCTGTAGAGAATACTATGATGAGAAACAATTGAAAATATATGACATACATTTATGAAAAAAGACTGATAAGAAATAAAATCTAAAACAAGTAAATTATTTTTCTGTTACTGTTCCTGGATCTCTGTGTTTAAAAACATTATAACTCTTGACATAAGCACATATAACAGTCGGAATATTAAATAATCAGTAATTGTAACATTCGTAATTTGTTTATTTTTTTTAAGTCCGAGTGCAATCTATAAAAACATTCAGCCAGGAGGTGGCAGCAGATCCTCCTCTTCACCGTGTTTATCAGCGTTAGAGAGAGAGCCGTGCCATAAATCACGCACTGGAAGTGTCAGTGCAAATTCTGTTAGATTTTATTGCAGTTTAATCAGCTCAATGAATGTTTTAATAGGCTGATATTTCAGGGAGCGAATGGCAACGCCGTGATAAATCGCCCGGGCCGAGCGTGGGCCCCTCCTCCACGGCTCCCCCTTCTGTCGCACATTTTTCCTGCGAAGAATCACTAATGTAGAGCTACACAGCGATCTGTCCACCTCCTGATCAGGGTTATTGGCCTTCTGATGTGTTCTCAGATTATGTCTGTGCTCATTTTACAACAAACTGACTGAGCTGGAAGTGTCTGCGTCTGCAGTTCAGCTGATTGTTGAACTGCTGAACTGACTTTACTCATGGTTTTAAATGTACAGATTTTGTTCTTTCTTATTTCTTTTTTTCCTAGTGTGAATTCATCCCAGTCGACGACTCATGGCCTCCTGCACCATTGACCACCCCTTTCTCCCCCTCCTCTCCTCCTCCCTTCCCCGAGGATCGCTCCGTTCGTCATCCCCATCACTCTTTGCCATTATCGTCCCGTTGTCATCCTTTCTCCTCCTTTCTCCTCCTTTCTCCTCCTTTCTTCTCCTTCATCCACGCCCGTCTCTTCCCCTCTTGTTCCTCCTCTGACCTTCAGCTCCGTGGCTCCATCGCTCTTTCCCACGATGCACGTCTTTCCACTTTCCACGACCGTGTGGTGGAATGCAAAATCAACATGGCTGTGGCATTTTTGTCACCCGTCCCCCCCCCCCCCCCCCCGCCCCACCC